TTAAAAATGGCGGTATGATAGTACCATTTGCTTGGCAGGCTATCTACTTTTTTGGTATAATATCATCTATTGTTGATTTTTTTTTCCATGAAAAGCTTCTCTTTGCAGTTGTGTATTTTATTTTATCTTACTGCCACTAAAATATAAAGATGGCTAAAAAATTAGTGCATTTTACCATTTCTATGAAGGCTACAGCTAAACAGTGGTTTTTAGATAAACATTAAAGGTTACCTACTCATTTCTAAGGAAACAACAAAATGACTACTTGATTTTCTTTTTCTTTTCATCCAGATAGTATGGCATTGGTTAGAAACAAATATTCTGCCTATCATTATTTTATCATTTCATTATGGGCAGAATAGTCTTCCTTGCTTTGGCATCCATATTGGGCTGTCCCTAGAGATGGGATGCGCTTTATTTTCATTAAAGTAATGCAGACAGCTTTTATTTGGTTCTTCTAAGAAGCCAATAAATATAACTGTCCTGGTAGACCTGGGAGGAAGGTCATGCTGCAGTGGGAGGCTTTGCATGAGAATATGCCTGGAGGCCAGCACCTAGGGCATTTATGATGGAAGTTACTTCAGCTGCTAAACATGCACACACAGGGCATAGGAACCACAGGCATCAAAAGGAAGACTACTTAGAACATTAAAAAAAATAAAATTGGAAGTTCAAAAAGTATCTATCTAGATTCAATAACTATTCAGAAAAATGGGGGAGGGAGGCGGTATACAGGATGGAATTGGGCTTAAAAATACATACTTTTTTACTCAAATAATGACAAGGTATGTTAAAACCGAGGAGGAATCTTTGCGGTGAGGAAGTTTTGTTGGAGAATAAATAAGCATGGATGCTATCATGCTTTGTCAGGTAACAATCATCTCATAATGGGTGCTGTCTGCAGACATTTTGATGATGTCATAGTCCACATTTTTTCTGTCATTTTTTAGGTTACTAGGAAGTCACTGTTGAAAATATTCTAGGTCCATGTTTACAAAGGCACAGTAGTACTGAAATTCAGAGTAATCACTATCGNCCCTAATGCCCACTCAGTGCCCTAATGCCCACTCAGTGCCCTAATGCCCACTCAGTGCTCCCTGGTGCTCCTTAGGCCAACCTCAGGGAGGGGTAAGTACAAACAATGGAATCTCTTTGGATCAGTAGAGCCTGAAGGGTATTTCAAGTTGAAAATTTCCCCCTAGAACAAGTTGAATGTTATAGTGTGTTATAGTTTGTAGTGACTTAGTCTAGGATGTAAGTATTTGTACAGCTAGCACATGGAAGGTGCATAATAAGTATATGTTGAATAAGCGAGTAAATGAATATTCACTATATACATTTCCCTAGTAAAACCGATTCTCAGCTGTACAAGACAAAGAATTCATTTTGTATTCCTGCTGTCACATATTGGATTCCATTCAATTTATAAACAATACTTAGAGTTCTTTAGCTTAAATATGCTATTCTCTGTCTATGGCCTATATTTAGTATTCTTAATGTTTTTAGCAGGGTCATAGCCTTTGTTAAGAATTCGGTGAAAAATATGAAACCTCTTCTCACACAAATGCATTCCTAGACATATCCATACAGAATTTTATTTACAAGAGTAGGAGGTTCACAGGGCTCCCAAGTCTCGCTGTGACTCCTTAGCGATCCACGGACCCTCGATTAAGAACCCGTGAGGACAATACTATGATTCGTCCACAATCAGTGCTGACTAGAAAACCTCTGAGATCTTGCGCCCCTCTTTTCTCTTCATTAGTCGGAGCTCAGTGACGGCATTGCTGTCCTCGTGGGAAGCAATGATCGAGTCCAGGGAGCAATCAGCCAGCTGGAAGACACCTGTAAAACAATTGAGGTAAGTCCAGACTCCATGGGAATCTAAACCAAGCCTGGGCTCCTAGGGGCTGTGGCTTCCTCAGCATCACACCAGAAACCCCCGTTCCGACATGTCAGCCTCTCTGTATAAAATGGCATCCTTCCTGATATGTCTGTAAAATACTCACCTTCTGGCACAGGAAGTTACCACATTAGCCAACAAGGCAGATTTTACCACATTTACTCAGGTTCTGTTACACATGTTGTTCTTTCTTGGTCAACAACCCCTTTGGAAAGATTAGCTACAAGAAAAATAATTCCCAGTAATGGAAATGAGTGTTGTTCGCCATTCTAGCATAGTTTCCTTGTGGAAATCCTAACAGTCTTAAGAAATGCAAGTTAGTGCTTTAGGAATTGATGGACGGGTTTGGGCTATATATCTGGGCTCTAGCAGTGGGCTGTTAGGGGCCGGCAGGAGGAGAAAGATGGGCCTGACTGTGGTTAGAGAATGGTTCAGTATCTGGGCGCTCATGGAGGCCAAGTTCTGGCTCGTTCGACTCTGCTTGCCTTATGCCCAGCTCGTAAACCTGTACCTGGCTCGTAAACACTCAATGTAAACTTGATGAACAAATGGATGAATGACTGGCTATTTAGCTCACACTTAGGTTTGGCATGTAAGAAATACTGCAAATCCACTTTTTCTCAGGATCACATATAAACTATATAATTGCTGAAGGCAAAATGCTGATGCCTAAAAAGGTTTAGCTCTGTGGCAAATATCTTTTCAAGATTTGAAGATTCAGACTGGTTAAGCCATGCTGCAGAGGGAGCTGGCAAGACATCAGGGTCTCTGGCTCTTTACCCTGGAGTCGTTTATTACTCCCTCCCTGCTCTAAGCTTTGGGGTGATTTGTTTTTTCAGTTGGACCTCAGGTACAGAGAGTTGAGGCACTGTACTGCTCAGTTCATGGCTTATCGTCTTCAGATCTGTGGGCAAGGCCCCTCCTGTTATCTATTTATTTCCTTTTATCTGCATTCCCCACTCCTATTCTCTCCTTTGTCCATAACCACTCTAACATGTTTGATGTTCCATTTACCTGTATTCTTATAAAATGTGTATTGTTTTGTTTGCCTGTCTTTTAATTTGATAAATGGCATTGTGTTGTATTTCTCATTCTGCTCCCTACTTTTTAAAAACTAAGCATTGTTTTTTAGATCCACTCGCATGTACATTCGATCTTACAGTTTTCTCCTCTGTAAAAATGGAGCAATCAAAGTACCCACTTTATAGTTACTGTGAGGAATAAGCATAAACAAAATGCTTAGCACAGGGCCTGGCATATGTGGGTGCCCAGTAAGCACCCTGTTCTTATTACTGTATCATTAGAAAGTCACAGTCTATCAAAAGCCAATGGCCAGTTCCTAGATGATGACTTAGGACATTGGCCATAATCATCTCATTTTAGATTTACACATCATTTAAAGTCAATCTCCTCTTTTCTTTATACTCAGATCTTTGAAAAGATCCATGATAAATCTGGGATCCATTTACAGAAGAAAAATGTTTTCTCGATGGAAAGCCCAAAGAGATTCCAACATGGACAATATAACCTTTCACTTATTTACAGTAAAGACCACATACAACTTAATCATTGAGCCGTGAATCAGCACTCCGGTGTGGTTCCACGCTGAGTCTTGAGAGTATAAATAGGAATGTGGTGCTTGTAGGCCAGTGAGGTAAACTCTATACTCATCTCTAGTGGGGCCTTCATCAGAGACCTCTGTGGGAGAACAGGCGCTCTGTTTAGGCTGGGAACACATACAGGAGAAAAGTCCTGTGAGTCACAGTTGGCCCTGAGCAAATGCAAACAACTCGGCTCCATTTAGCCAGCACCAGAGGACTCTGGGAGCACGAGGAGAAACCTGACAACCGTTTTATTTTCGGAGGCTGGTCAGGGTGCAATAAGAAGCCGCTGTTTTTGTTTTTGTTTTCCATCGAGAAAGAGACCAGAAGGAACAGGTTTGAAGTTAAGTCACAGAGGGGATTCAGTACGGATATCAGGAAGGACTTCCTGGCAGTGACCATCGGGGTTATTACCCCTATTATTACTGATAAAAACATTCACCGAACATGATACACTTTTATAACCTTACTGCAAGGTTACTAGAGGAGGGTATGTAATTGTCGCCTGCAAGGCTTCAAGATGAGACCGCAAATTGGAAGGAGTCTTAAAAGTGACCATCCCTTTCACCTGTTTATTTCACTTTGGGGATTTTACCTTAAGGAAATTAGATGAAAAAACAGTATATAAAAGGTTATGGAATGTATATATTCATAAATAACCCCATATACATTCACAGGAGGAAAAATCTTCAGAAATTAAAAGGTTAAAAGCGTGACGAGTGGGATTACAGGTGATTTTCAATGCCTTTCTTATAGATTCCTGTATTTCACATTTTTCTCTCACGAGCCTAACATTTTAAATAATCATGAATGAATGAATGAATGAATGAATGAATGAGTATGGCTCAGATAAGTACAGTTCTTTCAGATCAGTGTAGGTGGCTCATTTGGAGATGGAGGGGTTGGCTCAGAGCCCCCACAGAGGTCTCTGATTTTATGATTCCTGCTTGATGCCAGTGTCCTCCATTCAAAGAAGCCCTGAGGACAGAGCTACCACAAATGGCCACACTGTGCGCACCGATCCATAATCAGTGAGGCAATCTGTAGAGCCAGGGCCTTATCCATGGGCAGAGCACCAGAGGCTCATGTCGTGCCAGCCTGCAGGCAGCACAGGGTGAAGCACACCAGGCCCTTGGCTCAGAGTGAAATGGTCCTACCTTTCCAAGCAGGTGAATTCTGTATCTGGGGTCAGGGTCTCAGGGCTCCTGGGTCCCGTGTTCTGTCTGGGGTTGTTGTTGTCCTTTATGGCTCTGCTCGTTGCCTGCCTGGAAACATTTCCTGAGAATGTGGCTGCTGACCAGGAGGTGGGGAGCACTTGTTCAAGAATCCTCCTTTCTGATTGGTGGGGAACCCCTGAGGGATGGGAAATGGAGCAGCCCCTGGGGTGGGTTCGCTGCTTCCCTAATTACCTCTCCTCTCCTCACATGGGGCCCTGACACCTGCCCTTTGGTAGTAGTGCCCGTTCCCTGCACATGTCTAATTTTGTCCCTAATCATGCAACATCGTCCGGGGCTGGCCTGGGCGGGCACCTGGCCCAGGACTGGCCCTGGAGAGCTGCTGAGCTTAGGGGAAATCTCACTGTGGACTCTGCGTTGTCCTTTAAAAATAATGTGTGCACTTGCTGTGCGTTTACAGTAATGATGAGACTGGCTTTGAGAAGGACTATAGTCACAAAAGGGCGGTCTGAACTGTGTCGGAGTGGAAGTGGCATGTCCCTTGGTGCTGTGGGCTGATGGTGGATGAAGGAGCCTTTGGTCCTTTTAGCCCTCCTAGCTAAATGTGGCTCAGCCAGGGACGTTCCCAGAGCATTGGGACAATGCAGGGCATTGGAGGGCCTTCTGGGCTGTTCTAAATGAGCTAGCATGGTCTATCTGGAGCTACATTTGCCTTTCCAAGCCTGGAGATGTTCTGGGACAGGCTGGGACTGAGAAGAGGGCTGCTGAGAAGGTGGGAGTGGAGAAGTGTACTGTCTCGGGAACTCTCTGCTTTCAGAAAAGTGTGCCCGACTCTCATTCTTCATCCCTAGAAAACGTAACCTCCTTCTTATAGTCTTTACAAACGGCACTTATCCTATGTCACTGGACCCCACGAGAGCAGGCTATTAATACTGGCCCTCCCACGGCAGTCGGGCAGGCAGGCTAGAAATAATCCTGTCCCGTGTGGATGCCTGTCTAGGGGAAAGAGCTACAAATCGAGTAATAAATATTTGATCTTGAGCATTTCTAATATCTGAAAATGACAACTTTAATAAAATCTTCTGATGATTTTGCCATGAGAACAAATCCACTATATTTCCAAAACACTGATTTTTACCCAAACAGCTTTGAGACAGTGTCCATACAGTTACAAATATGAAGTATGAATACAGTAAGAACCATGTTAATGGGCATGCCCAAATTTTTAAGGCCATATTCTTAAGGTAATATGTGCTTAAAAGAACAGATTTCAGAGTTTGAGTTTTAGCTCTGCCATTTACTTAGATGAGTTTGGGCAAGTTACTTCAGCTCTCTGTCCCTTAACTTCTTTAACAAAACAGTGGGGATAATAATAACCTTCCTCATAGTGTTGTTGTAATGCCTAAGTTGGGGTAAGAGGCACATGCCAGGGGCTCAATAAATGTCACCTTGCACCATCCTCAGAGTCAGCTAGGAAAGAGCACATTTATTCTAATGATGCTAACGGTCATTAAAACCACTGGAGCATGTGTAGCATCTTTTAAATGGTGTCAGAATAAGCCCGTCAGGGTCTTGGTCAATTACGATGGCAGGGCGAAGCAACTCCCTGCAAAGAGATCAACTGAAAGTGAATGCAAATAGATATTCGCTCTATCTTTAAAGAGGCTTTGTGGTAACTTGAACTATTGGCCACCAAGGGAGGCTGAGCCTCTTCTGGGAAACATACTAACTCTCCACAGAAGACAGGAGTCTGTTAAACAGCTGCTCAGCTTGCTGGGGCCTCATGGCTTTCTCAAGGAGCTTCTAAATGATCTGGACTAGCCCAGAAAACCCACAATGCCAAGAACCCCAGGGGTAAACATAGAGTTCCCATAAATTTTAACGCAGTTATCTTTCTCAGTGGATGACAACACAATGTGGTAGAAAAACGCACGCCTGTGGGAGCCCCGAGGCCCAAGGCCACTGAACAGAGTCGCTCCACTGAGCATCGCACAGAGGTGCCCCACTGGCAGAGAGCGGCCAAACTCCAGCCCATGCACCTGGAGGGATAGTCTTCTTCTAAGTTGTCTGACCCTTTTCTAGTGCAGCCTGGCAGAGACCCGGGTTCTCACCCCAGTCTGCACTCATGGGACTACTTCCAAGGGCTTGTAATGGGCCTTCATGAGTGAGGGGTTGGGCTTAA